AGGCCAGTAGTTCAAACCCACCAGCCATGCTTCGGAAATCCTATACAGGGTCCTGTGGGTCAGAACTGACTCGATGGCACTTAATAACAATTGGTTGCTCTCAGCAATGAGCAGCGTCTGCCATCCCTGCTCTTACGTCCTTCTCTCCTCTGAAGTATCAAGCACATCACTCAAAAGCTTGTTAGTGGCCGGAGTTATTTTGGTAGGAGCTTTTCAAAACTTCACTTCAAAAGGCTATGTTGTTAGTTGCCATCAAGTGGATTTCCACCAGGTGGTGTCAGTTCCACCAGGTGGTGTCAGTTCCACCAGGTGGTGTCAGTTCCACCAGGTGGTGTCAGTTCCACCTGGTGGTGTCAGTTCCACCAGGTGACAACCCCATGTGTTGCAGAGCAGACAAGTTCCTTAGGATTTTCATGCTGGCTGTGATCTTCCAGGGCAACTCTGGGTGCACCAATAGTTTATGTCACACAGCTGCCTCAGAAGACTAAGTTTCTTCAAAAAAAGAATGGGTCAGACATACTCACCCTCTAACCGCTTTAATCTCAGCATAGAGTTTGGTACAGAGGTGCTTGTTGTTAAGTGCCATCTAGTCGACCCCAGCCCACAACGATCCTGTTGATGATTTCTGAGGCTGTAAATCTCTATGGAGGTAGAAAGCCTGATTTTTCTCCTAAAGAGGGACTGGTGAACTAGAACCACCTGCCTTGTGGTTCTCAGTCCATTGCTTATCCTGCAGAGCCACTGCATGCATACACAGCAATTATGTATTGAGTTCAAATGAAAAGATTGCTTTAGAACCTTGAAGTTGCAAAACGCACCAGAGGCCCTGTCGTGTCAGAACATTTATGTGAACAGTAAGGGAGGAGGCTTTCTCTTGCTCACAGGGAACTGTTGGCGGCCCACCCCAGAATGTGGAGTTTTGTAGAAAAGGCCACTTGTCCCTCCCTCTTCTTCCCCTCACCCCCCTTTTAAAATTCTTACACTTCATGGGAGACAGGGTCAGCATGGCTCTCCGGCTGCTGCCGACCACCTGTTTACATTTTGTTACTGCTTCTTTGTCTTTAATTTTTGACAGCTGTCTCTCCAGAAGCGTGCAGGAGTAGATCGTTTGGAAAGAGAGCGGATCAATGAAAACTCCTTTTGCCAGCTCTGGTGGTGTTGTCAGGTTCCCTGGGGTTGATTTTCGCCTCATAGAAACCTCATATGACAAGCAGAACGGGGCCCATATGATTTTCTAGGTTGTTAATCTTTACACGAGAGAGGAGTCCTGGTAATGCCATGCTAAAGCACTCAGCTACTAAAGCAAACAGCCGACTGTAGGAACACACCAGGAGTTCCTCAGGGGAAAAGACTTGGCGAACTACTCCAGTTATGATGGTAGCTTCGGAAGCCCTATGGGGCAGTTCTGCTATGTCCTGCCTGGTTGTTATGAGATGAATTCAACTTCACAGCCCAGAGCAACAGCAGCCTTTATGGAAGCAGATCACCAGGTCTTTTTCTTATTCAGTCTCTGGGTGGGTTCGAACCATCAATCTCTTGGAATAGTAGCCAAATACTTGATCATTGCACCACCAGGCCTCCTTTTTGATAGATTGGTATGGCGTTGTAGGATCAGCACTAGATTGTGAACCACAGGATCGGCAGTTCAAACCCACCAGCTGCTCCACAGAAACCTAATATAGGGGCGCTATGAGTCGGAACTGACTCAATGGCACTTAACAACGTCAGCAACATGTTTATAATAAAGCAGGAGCTGGTGTCTAACTTAATACTTGGGAAATAAGTTAAAAGATCTCTTGCAAAAACAGTAACTGAACTGAGGAAACTTTGTGGCAATATCCTTAAAATCACTCCTCACAGAACTTCTCTAAGAATACTCGAGGGATTTCAGAAAGTTCGTGGAAAAATGTAATGAAAAGAATAATGGGTGTTGCTGGCAGCCAGGAGACAGGCTTGCAGAACGTGCCCTTTGGTTGATTGTTTAAATGATTATACGTTCCTGAATGTTTGTGTGTACATTCAGAAGAAAAAAACAACAACAAAAGGAATAAAAGCAAATAGTGTTGAGTGATGATGCATGGAGGGGATTGTAATCGTTGCAATGAAATGAAATACGATAGGAGGATGAGTTCTCCCATGTAAACTATCACTCAATTCACAATGAAAACTTTAAAAAGAAAGAAAAGATCATGGAATTTTCCTAGAACTTTTTGAAGCCCCCTCTGATAACAGGTTCCCTGGTTGAATGTAGAAGCCAGTGTACAAGAGCAAAGATGAAGTGTACCAAAATGGTGGTGGAAAATGCTTTTCTTAGGTTGGAACACCGAAGTTTTGTGAGAATCTAGACCTCAGTCCTCAGATAGCTATTTTAAAACACATTACTTCTGTGATTATATCTTTGCCCCAGTGGGGGCCTCTTCTGGGTTTAGCAGTATGTCAGAAATACTTTAAAGACTAGCAGATGTTTGGGTTAATAAAAACCATGCTTATCTTCTTCCAGTGCTGTTCTGCATACTTACTGAAATTTCAATTTAGGGGTTTTGAATAAAGGGGGAAAAGTGTCAGTGTTTGGCAGTTTTAAATATCCCTTTTGCATTATCAGAAGGCAGAGCACATTGAAGGTAAACAAACATTTCTTAAAGGAAGATGAATGGATCTTGTCCACCTGATGGTTTGAGATTCTCACTATAACCCCTCATTGAATTTCCAGTGTCATTGTCTCCCACGTCCCCTGTCTTGCCTTTCTTGTGTAAGTCCTATACCTGGAATGCTAGACCCAAGACAGTGAAAGCAGTATTGGGGTCTGGAATAGGGCTGCTGGATTTGAAGTGGGGAACTGAACTCATGTATTGTTGGCGTTTCAGAGAGCTGCCCATGATTGTAATTCATTTATTAATGGAAGAGATATTGGGACATGTCAGCATGTTTCAGAGGCCTTGACAGCTCACCAAGAGAAGTTATGCATTCACTGTTACCGGAGACCAATGGCATAATCCAGACCAGTCTGTCTCCTCTGGTCTTCGGCAATATAGGTTGACAGGAAACAATGTTCGATTATTTCCTAAAATTTCCAAGTGGGATACTTTTAGTAGATGTAGATTCTAGTTCTATACCAGAGGGCCTCAAAAAGTTCAGGGTAAAATGGAGTTAAAAGGCAATGGAGGTTTTCCAAAAACTTTTTGAATCTAGAATTAGAACAGGCAAAAACTGACTAAAAGTGAGATTGGCATCTATAAACTAATCACTTACCATGAGCTCTTTTGCCTGAATTATAGAGCTCTCTGCTCTTTGGGCACTTTAAGATTGGTCTCTGAAGTTAATATATGAGCAACTAACTAACAGATGTTGGAGCCCTGGTGTGGCACTGTAGGTTAATGCGCTGGGATTGCAAAGTTGGTTTGAAGCACAAAGTAGGTGGTTCAAGCTCACCAGCCGCTCCTCGGAAATCCTATACAGGGTCTCTATGGGTCAAAACCAACTCAAAGACACTTAACAACAACAACAACTAACAGATGTTAAAGCAGATCAAATGCTAGACCATTTGTTGAGTCAACAACGACTCGTGTGTGTCTGTACCACTGGGCTTTCAGTGGCTGTCTTTCCTCAAGTAGACTACGAGGTCTTTCTTCCAAGGCACCTCTAAGTGGACTCAGACTTCTAACCATCTGGTTAACAGTCAAATGTGCTAACCACTTGTACCACCTGGGGACTCCTGTCAAAAAAAAACCCAAAGCCCACTGCCATCGGGCCAGCTTCAACTCATAGTAACCCTGTATGGGTTTCCAAGGCAGTATATAGGAATAAATCATTGGCATGTGATAGAAATGGAAGGGTTGTCTCCCCAAAAGTCAGGGGGTCCAAGTGCAAGGGGGGAAACAAACAGCCTTTACGACAGAGGGAGGAACAAGACCAGCCAGTCACCGAAAAAGGAAAAGGCTTGGTTTTTTCCAGGAAGACGAGTATTTTCCTGGGGCTTTGTGGTTGGAAGGAATTGCAAAGGAGGAGGCTGACTGGACAGCTGGGTCCCCAGTGTAGAGACTCTTGGGTTTCATGTTAACAACGTGTGGAGATCCCTTGAAGGACTCTGGAGCAGAGATATGACAAGTTTATGCTAGAAGCAGGCAGCATGGAAGGAAGAGGAGCGTGAGTCTAGATGAAGAATGATCCATTCAGAAGCTACTGTCAGTTCTCTGACAATAAGAGCTGCAAGGAGAACAGAGGAGGTAAAAATGGAAAGGATGGATATGAATCTATAATCTTCAGAGACAGAATGTAGGATGAAGGCGGCAGTAGGATGAAGAGTCAGAAGTGAATCTATGAGCGAGAAAAGGAGAGAACTTATAAAAAAACAAAAAAAGTGAAACTGTGTTTTCCACTAAGAGAAAAGGGGATTTGGGAAGGAAGACCATGCGTTTGGTTTGGAATGAGGCAGCCAAGGAGCATCCGGGTGGAGACCTGTATAGACTTTGGGCTTTTGAAAGTGATTCTTAGGAGAAGAGTTGAGGCTGAGACTGGAGAGTTGGGGGCTATTGGAATAAAGATGAAGATCTTGTCTTTATTTTATTTTTAATGGAATTCCTTGAGATGATTTCCAAATCCACATGAAGATAAAGGGTTTTTGTTTTGTTTTGTTTTTCTGACTAAGATCATTTCTTTTGAAAAATCAATAATGCCAAAACTTGTAATTATTGTCCAATTTATAAGTTGAATTTTACTGAGCATGGCTTAATTAGATTTCTTTTGTTTGAATTAAGATTATATGAGTAAATACATTCCATTTGTCATGTGTGACTCAGGTACTGAAATGCACAGTTTTTATTCAAGAGACTTAGTTTGTCTTCATTCTTGTGCTTTAAAAAGGTTCTCCAGTATTAGATATTTTTAGGGTCATATTTTAAATTGCCCAGTTTTCTCTATTTAAAAGTGAGTGCATCGAGCTTGAGATCAAATGTTGGCCACTCCCCGTTCTAACTTCCTCCTCATGTTACGTTGTGTTACAGGCACATCTTTTTCTTGCACATAAAGGAGGCCCTCTTGGCGGGGCACCTCCAGTGTTCCCCAGAGCAGGCCGTGGAGCTCAACGCCCTCCTGGCCCAGACCAAGTTTGGAGACTATAACCAGAACACTGCCAAGTACAACTACGAAGAGCTGTGTGCCAAGGAGCTCTCCAGCGCTGCCCTGAACAGGTGAGGCTGCGTTTAGGACTAGTGTGGATGGTCTTGGATCTCAAAAGTTTACAAGCACTTCCAGAAGGAAAGGAATCTCTGATGTAGACAGATAATGTGTGAGATCTAAATTGGGCCACTGCCCAGTTTTACCTATTCAAAAGCTTCTTCAGTTTTTTATTTCAAGATACTTGGACATGCAAGATGTAATGCACACAAAATAAACGTCCTTATATGAAATGCTATATAGCCACAATTTTGCACAAAATCAAACAGCTCTGAACTTTTAAGAAGGCAGAGCTCCTAAAGCCTATCATGTATTTTGGTGTGTTTCCTTCATACCAGTAAGATGTAAACCAAGAAGGTTAACAGAGGTGTGTTAGCTAACTATTCCTGCTTAACAGATTACCCGAAAGCTTAAAGGCTTAACACAACAGACATTATCTCTCAGCTCTGTGGGTCAGGAATTTGGATAGAGTTTAACTGGGCCATCTGGCTCAAGATCTTTCATGAGGCTGCAGCCAGGCTGTTAATGAACTTCCATCTCATCTGAGGCTCAACGAAGGAGGAGGGATCTGCTTTCCGGTTCATTCAAGTGGTCTGCTGACAGGCCTCATTCCCTCATCATGGGGGCCTCTCCACAGGGCTGCTTTTAGACACGGAAGCTGGCTTCCCCAGGGCAGACGGTCCAAGTCAGAGCAAGAGAAATCACCCAAGACGCAAGTCCCATTCTTTTCATAACCTAGTCTCAGAAATGGCAACTCATCACTTCTGCTATATTCTGTTCATGAGAAGCCAGTCAGTAAGTCTAGCCGTGCTCAAGGGAAGGGGATACACCTATCCCCCACATACCGACTATTTCGTTATCCAGCATTTCACATCTATGACAACAGTAAAATATCAACTGTCCAACTGACTACTTTGTGCGTTCGCTTGCGATGGTTGTCTGGCAGTGGAAGATGCTGAGATGTGAAGCAAGAGTACCTGGCTATGATGGTTAAGGTTATGTGTCAGCTTGGCTGGGTCATGGTTCCCAATGGTTGGCTAGTTATATGATGATGTAATCTGGTGGTTATGTAAGGATCTAATTTCACAATTAATGTAATGATATACTCATTCTCCATGGTGTGATTTCATATCTTTATTTTTGCATAACACCAGTTTTTATTATAATATTTGTTTATAGCTGTAAAACATGCAGGATTCATTTTGTTATCTGTTGTGATGGACAGCCTCTAGTATGGTCCTCAGTGACCCTGCCTCCGGATGGTCATGCCCTTGGGTGTGCCCACCTCCTCATTTAGAGACATGGCTAGGTTCCAAAGACCAAGTCATTATGTGAAAACTGATATTATGTGAAAACAGAAGATGACCACATCAGAACACAAATTAGTGTTGCACTGTAGGATCAGCACTGGACTGTGAACCACAAGGTCAGCAGTTCAGACCCACCAGTTGACCTTTGGAAGCCTTCTAGAGGGCCTCTATGAGTTAACAACAACACCTTTGCATAACTGTGAAACCACTAAGAATTGTGGCCCAGCCAGGCTGACACATAGCCTTCCCATTACATCTGGTGCTGCCCACTTCTTGCACCTTGGCATTCATTACAGTCAGACATAGTTTTTTAAAGTGCAAAACAGTCAGATAGTAGAGGTGGTGGTGTTTTTTAACTATTGTCATGAATGTGAAATCTTAGAGAAGGAGATAGTCAATGAGTGAAGAGTAGGTTAAACAGCTTTTAAATATTTGTGATTCGTAGGTGTCAGTGTCCATATAAAATTTGCTGAAGAAATCAGGTGCTATTTTTCTGAAACCATACAGGTTTTTCTGAAACAACTTTACAAGCTAATCTCTATGTCACGCTCTGCCTTTTTGGTGCCCTGCAGCATCATTGCAAAGCATAAGGAGTTGGAAGGGACCAGTCAGGCTTCCGCGGAATACCAGGTATTACAGATTGTGTCGGCCATGGAGAACTACGGCATAGAGTGGCATTCTGTGAGAGACAGCGAGGGACAGAGACTCCTCATCGGGGTCGGACCAGAAGGAATCTCCATCTGCAAGGACGACTTTAGCCCAATTAATAGGTAACCCATGCCTTCACTTTAAAAAAAATAAAAAATTTAAGTTCTCTCATATATACAGAGGCTTCAGAAGGTTCATGGGAAAATTCCATGATTCTTACATTCCATTTTTCCACAAACTTTGTAGCTCTGATCATGAAAAGAGCCTCTGGAGGGGGATTTACTAGACAAGTTATCCCTCAGGAAAAGCAAGTTTCACTTTTGTATGTACATGAAGTTTTGCAGGCCTTGATAACCATTTATTTTTTTAAAATGCTAACTCAGACTGGATTGATAAGGCAGTTAATATATTTCAAATAAGTCATTCAATGCTGCTGAAAACTCATTTTCACCTATACACTCACACACCGCACAAAACACATCTCTTTCCACTTAAGCATAGCCGTTTTCAGTCTGTGTTTATACTCTGAGGAGACCCTGGGTATGGTACAAACGGTTAACTGAAAGGTTGATGGTTCAAGTCCACTGAGAGGCACCTTGGAAGAAAGGCCAGGCAGTCTACTGCCAAAAACCCAGCCGCTGAAATCCAGTGGTGCACAGTTCTACTATGACAGGTCGCACATAGGATTGACTTAGCAGCACATGGTAGTAGCTACATTGTAAGTCCCAAAGTGACTGTTCTTACTGTTGGTCCCTATGCAAACAGCCAAAAACAACACTCCCAACTCAGACAAATCCCTCCTTTGGACTCACTTACTCTCTCTATCCGTCTTTTAGGATCGCGTATCCTGTGGTGCAGATGGCCACCCAATCAGGAAAGAATGTGTACCTGACGGTCACCAAAGAGTCTGGAAACAGTATTGTGCTCTTGTTTAAAATGATTAGCACCAGGGCAGCCAGTGGCCTCTACCGAGCTGTCACAGAAACACATGCCTTCTACAGGTACGGGCCCCTGCCGACATTCTGCCTCAAGCCCAACAGTCCAGAAACAGTTCATATCTTCTCTTGTAGCCAATGCCCAGGAGTCTTCCAGGGAATTTAAGAACTCGGCTGCTGTTGGGTGTTTGGTTCAGCAGTGGCATATTCTTACCAATGCTGGCCTATTCCCACAGAAAGTGCATGTATATGAGCCACCCAGAGGGTCGCTGTGATTGCCTCCTCCCTTAGTCCCTTATACTACCTTCCCGGCCTGGGGGGCCTGTTCTGCTGCTGTTTTTTGCCCTTTTCCAGCAGAAGGTCGAGGTTTGGCTCGCTCTCCTCTGTGAGAGTGACCTTCCTGAAGCGCCTAACTGTGTAGTCAAGAGTTTTTCTTAATAGTATCTCTACTCTGGATTCTGGCAGCGGGGGAGCCCTTTGAAGTCGAGTTGTGATTAGACTCAAATATTTGGAGAAATGAAAGATCAGAAATTTAATTGGTAGGCAACCTTAAACGGTTTTTATTTTTAAATCGACACACTTTGTGGAGCAGAACGGAACACATGTCGAAATATTTAAGATAAAAAAGACTAGACTTCAAAGAGAACTTTCCTTTGGGCTGTAGCTCGTATCTGTGGAGTGGGGAGGTGCCCTTTCACTGTGGCTTTATGGGAGGTATGTTGGAAACACTTGAGAACCATCACAGGTAGAATCAGTGAAACCTTTCACACACACAAAATTGGTAAGTCCCTTTCAAGTCCATAGACTGGAATATCAAATGTCCGCTGCATGAATATTGTTACCACTGAAGTTCTAATGCAGGAAATGGCTGGGCTTTTGCGCACTGACTCAGATGTCCCTTCTCTCCCCACAGGTGCGACACAGTGACCAGTGCGGTCATGATGCAGTATAGCCGAGACCTCAAGGGCCACCTGGCATCGTTGTTTCTGAATGAAAATATCAACCTTGGCAAGAAGTATGTCTTTGATATCAAAAGAACATCCAAGGAGGTCTATGACCATGCCCGGCGGGCTCTTTATAATGCCGGCGTTGTGGACCTGGTGTCCAGGAGCGACCACAGCCCCCCAGGCTCCCCGCTGAAGTCCTCAGAAAGCAACATGAACTGCAGCAGCTGCGAGGGCCTCAGCTGTCAGCAGACACGCGCCCTGCAGGAGAAACTGCGCAAGCTAAAGGAGGCCATGCTGTGTATGGCGTGCTGCGAAGAGGAGATCAACTCCACCTTCTGCCCCTGCGGCCACACTGTGTGCTGTAAGAGCTGTGCTGCCCAGCTACAGGTGAGCAGAGCCCCTCACTCACGCAGGTCATACTTGAAGGTCACCTGTATCGCATGCTCAGACACAAACGAGAGCTCCCATCCTTATATGACAAGGCTCTTTTTTTATCCCTTGTCTTTAAAAGATAACACGCCCTTGGGAACATTTTAGATTAGCCTACTAATTTCAACTGCAGGATTACTTTAAATCAGACTTGTTTCAAGATCTGGAAAAGCACAAGACAGATAAGGAAACCAAGTAACACTTAATGGCTGGATCAAGGTCCAGAGTCCAGCCCTCCTGAGGCTCCTGATCAAGGAAGTCCTCTCCCAGTTCATGTTGCGGCCCATGTTCTGCCACTTTGAAGGATGGTCTTTATTAATAACTTAAAATATTTGAGAAAGAGTACTTAGATTTCGAGGCTGTAGTCTAGGAGACCTGATAGCGTAGTGGACATTTTGGACCGCTAACTGCAAAGTCAGCAGTTTGAGTCCACCAGGTGCTCTGAGGGAGAAAGCCGAGGCTTTCTGATCCCATAAAGACTGACAGTCTCAGAAACAATACACAGAAACTCTGTGAGTTAGAACCAATTCCAGAGCACACCACCACCACTAATTAGTTAACTCTCGGTTAACTCTGAAGATAAGTTACTGATTTGTTTTCTTATTGCATATACCTTTAGATGCCTCTTGAATTGGCAGGTCGAACTAATTTTATTGTTAATGTACATACAAAAATAAAATATAAGAAAAGCTACTCATCTATAGTAGTTTTCCTTTTCTTGTATGTTACATTTTCTTTTACAGTCATTTTTTCAGTTTGTCTTCATCTCTCAGAAGTGTTTGCTAAATGCCATTATGGTTTTATCAAAACAAGCTCTAAATGACATCTAGTCTTTGGAAGCTACTATCTTCAGAACTGTATTCTCAGGCTCTACCATGAAGTCCTGATGTGGTGCGTTGTAGGATATGCACTGTACTGCTAACTATAGCATCAGCAGTTCAAACCCATCATCCGCTCCTTAGAAACCGTATACAGGGTCTCTGTGAGTCAGGACTGACTCAGCAGTATACAACATTAAGTATGGGCCAACACATGCCTGTGTCCTTCCTGAGAGTATTATATTTTGTTCCAGTGAGCTGTCTCCTCAGGAGCAGTCGTGGAGTGTTCATTCTCCACCCTTGTATTCTTACCCTTGTGTCCAAGGCTCTCCCCTTTTCAAGGGGCATGCGATGCTGAAAAGCCAGCCAGGAATGTGGAACTGTTAACTGTGACTAGGATCAGATCCAGTGATCACACTTGGGCTTATCATGTTGATCTGAGTGTCTCAGCTGAGCCAAGAGCATACAGTCTCTGGAAGGGTTTCTTATATGAGAGGGCTTCAAAAGGTTCATGGGAAATTTCCTTTTTTTTTTTTGCCTGTGTACTTTTTTGAAGTCTCCTATAATTGCCAGGTTGCTCTGGGTCAGAACTGATTCGACAGCACTTCACAACAACAACAATAATTGCCTAAGGTGGGATCATGTGCTTAATAAGGACCACAGCCTACAAAGAAAGAAGTCTCTAGTAATTGCCTTAGTTAGAGTTTGACTTAAAAACCTAACATTTTCTTCAGTTTATACATTTTGCACCTTATCATAGTCTCAGTCCCTTACAAAGTTTAAACTTCTGCATCTGTTTGAAAAAAGCAAAGATATCTCTGCCTGATGAAGGCCAGAAGCAATTATAAGCAATTCTTACTTAGAAAAACCTAATGTAATATAGACCAAACATGAATGCTGGAAGATACTGGTCGATCCAGGTATTCTAACAGGTGTTGTGGCTTCTCTTTTCCAGTGTTGTCCAGTCTGCAGGTCACGTGTGGATCATGTTCAGCACGTCTACCTTCCAACCCACACCAGTCTTCTCAATCTAACCATAATATAACCTGTCTAGTCGAGCGTTTGACATGCCATGCAGCCATGAACCACACACACCATTATGGACTCTAAAAATAATAGATGTGGAGACAAGAATTTCAACACCCATTTGCCATGTGAAGTTTAAAGGGAAAAAAAAAAGGAAGTAGCAAGAATACAGCTACTCCTCATCACAAGAACATACCCACCCATTGAAGCAGATCCATTGGTGGTGACAAGGAAGTGGCCTGGAGACACAACACAGGCACCTTCCTGGGACTTTTTCTGTATCTTACTTGTAATGATCAAGTCAAGGAAGAGGCAAAATCCTCTTGGATGTCAGTTCAGTGGCAACGCAGCCAGCAAGTTGAGTTACCTTTTAGGAAGTTATGTTGTAAACCTCAGTATCCTGAGGCAAGTTGCCAACCTGCAGCAAATTTTGTAAGAATCAGTTTTAACTATTTACTGGGGGTTCTTTTTGTATGGTCACGAAACAACGAACATTTTTAACAGGAACTTTTTTTTTTTTTTTTTCTTAAAGACATAGTCATTGTTTGAACATCATTTCTGTATTCCTAACTTGTTAGAAAACGATTGGAAGGTACACAGATTTAAAACACCAATCTGGTGATTTATACAAAGTTGATAACAGGTTTCAGTTAGCTGGCTAGTGAAAGATGGATAATTCAATGTGGGTAGCTCCGTACACCTTTACCTGCCCTCCCCCACTCTTCTGTCAGCTCTTCTTTTATAATATGCTGCCAATTTGGTTCTGAGATTTCTGGGGGGTGGTGGAGGGGTAGTCGAGCATTCCCTGAGACTCTTGATTTGGTGGAATAGCTTACTTTCAGATTGAAACAGGAGAGCATTTTCTTTGGGAAGGGAAGTGACACTTCAGAGTGTACAAACTAGCTCTGTAGTTATCCTAAGCACTCAATTCCAGCCTCACCCATTGGTGACGCTTAGCTTGAACTCCCAAGCCTTTTACAGTCTTGTCGTAAGTATCCTAGTTATTGTACACTTTTTTTTCTTGTTTTGGTAAATGCTAAAGTATTAACTTTTGGTTGTCCCCTCTATGTGTTATATGCGTTTCGGGGGTGGGGAGGGCTCATGTTCTTTTTCTTTCTGTTTTAAACAGGTTTTCCACTCCCACTTGGACATTTTGGACTCTGGTCAGCTAGTGGGTTTTCTAGGATACCTAGATGACCTGATCGGGTGCAATACTAGCTAAGTTAAAGCTAGACTCCTACACTGTCACTTTACTGAGATTTCTGAGTATACTTTTCATATTGCCTTAATGTAGCAGTAATGTGTTTATGCATTTGTTTCTTTGCACAGACATTTTGTCAGATATTAAGACTCTACTTTTTTATGGCACATATTAGCATATAAGCCTTTATTCCAAGAGGTATTTATTTTTTCACTTGTTAAAAAACTAAAACAAAAAAAGAATGTTTCCACATACAGAACTTGGTTATATCCTAGAGGACTTCTGTCTTTTATATTCCGGAGAATAAAGACTTTAAAGCAGACATGGTGTTTGTATTGTCACTGTTACATCATCACTTAAGTCAGTTTAACTCGTTTAAGGAGAGAAGAACATCAATCCATCCTGGATGGGATCTAATTTAGTCTAACACATGAAATTTTTAAATGTTTAGGGGATTTTACTCTAATCAGATTAATGGAACATTTCATCCAATTCCTACTCATGGATGGTTCTGGTTAGAATGTAAGTGTGAATGGGGTAGTTTACATGAGCAAATGAAAAGTAAAATTCTGGGGAAATACTGCAAGGTACTGAATAAGGAATGGAATCGTGACATTGGTACTGAAAAAATTAAAAACCCAGCCAGTGCACTTCCTGATGAGGGCAGGTGAGAGCCAGCCTCAGTCCTCGCAGTTCGAGTCTGGGCTACAGACCAGAGTGCTGTGTTCCTACCAGATGGCTAGCATCTCGCTACTTGGATTCTTGGTATGGTGCTGTAGGATCAGCAGTGGACTGTCAAGCACGTGGTCAGCAGTTCAAACCCACCAGCTGCTCCTCGGAAACCCTATACAGGGTTGCTAAGAGTCCGAACTGACTCGACAGCACTTGATATCAGTAAATGCTCGGAGTCTAATCTGTAGGATAAGCGCTGGACCACTGGACGGCAGTTAAACAAAAACAGTACATGCCTTGTGGTATGGAGAACACGTAAAATGAGGGGGCTTCAAAAAGTTTCTGGAAAAATTCCAGGATCTTTTACATAAACCATTTCGTTTATGTAACTGACTGTTATCTGTAGAAATTGAAGGAAATACATAACATTTTTTTAAGAATTGGGGAAGGGAATTGGTTGTTCCCCCACCTACTAATTTTAAGAGAAAGATTAGACTTTCTGCTTCCTTGATTTACAGCCTTGAAAACCCTGTAACAGAGTTGCTATGGGTCAGAACCAACTTGATCGAATTTAACATCAACATAACCAGTTACTAAAACTTGAGTTATTTTTCCAGTTACTAAAACTTTAGTTATTTTTCTACCAATTTCTAGGATTTGTCATTGCTCATTTGGCACATTTATTAAGCAACTACAAAGTGAGCACTGGGAATATAACAGTAATCAAGCCTTGAATGATTTAGAATGCCTAGATTACATATTTGCTTGCAACACACAATTTTGGCTGGAGAAAAGTTAGCTAATATTCAAAGATCATCGAACATTAATGGGGAAGGGGATCCCAGACAGTACTCTCAGATTGGTAAATGTGTGGGTGGAAGATGGGTGGACGGGAGCCAGGCTAGCATGTGAGAAGGTAACACATTCATCATGAGCACTTGAATAAATTCTATAGGATGACATGTGCTTCAGTCAAATTATAAGTGAGTCCTGGTGTGGTGCTGTGGGTTAATGCGCTGGACTGCAAAGTTGGTTTGAACCACAAGAGGGGCGGGTCAAGCTCACCAGCTGCTCCTTGAAAACCCTATACAGGGTCACTATGAGTCGGAACCAACTCGATGGCACTTACCAATAACATATATATATATACACACACATACACATAAGTGCCATTGAGTCGGTTCTGATTCATCGCGACCCTGTATAGGGTTTTCAAGGATCAGCTGGTGGGTTTGAACTGCTGACCTTATAGTTAGCAATCTAGTGCTTATAGTATATATAGCACCACATCAGAACTCCAGTGGTGCTTGTGTGCCACTGAGTTCTGACTCATAGTGATCCTGTATAGGTTTTCCGAGGCTGTAAATCTTTACAGGATCAGAAAGCCTCCTCTTTGTCCCACAGAGCCACTGGCAGAGTTGAACTACTGAACTTCCAGTTAGCAGCCCAGCTTATACCCTATTATGCTACCAGGGCGTTCTCTCTCTACATATATACATATATATATTCACATATATGTAAGGTCTATATGATAAATAGAATTAAAGGAGGCAAAGAAGATAATGATTATTATTGCCTAGAAAGGTAAAAATTGCTACACAAAGATGACTGAGGCTTAACTAGATAGAAAAAGAAAGTATGGCCCATGCCAGGGCTAGACTGTGATTTGTGGGGTTGAATCAACCCCAAATATCAGAGAAAGGGGGAGAAATTAGAGTATAAAGGAACATGGTTAGAGTCACAATAGTCGGGGCCTTGAATTCCAAATTTGGACTTGGTCCTCTATTCCTTGGGAACAAGAACCTTTTGGGACAAGAGAGTGACAATCTTTCTTCTACTGGCAATTTCCACAAGAGCTGGAGAAGAACATGTTAATATTTTATCAACTAAGAACAAGACAACATACTTCAGAAGAATGATAAATATTTAGTAGGACAGTTTCTAACTTCAGATAGTCTTCAATAGGTTGAACAAAGAGTCCCTGGGTGGTGCAGATGAGAGCTATGGTAGCGTAGTGGTTACGAATCAGGCTGCGAACCGCAAGGTCAGCAGTTCGAAACTACCAGCTGTTCCACGGGAGAAAGATGAGGCTTTCTGCTCCCATAAAGATTTACAGCCTTGGAAACCCTGTACAGGGTTGCTATGAATTGGAACCGACTCCATGGCATACAACCAACCAACCAATTGCCAACTGAAAGGTGGGAGGTTCAGCTCCACCCAGAGGCCTCTTGGGAGAAAAGCATAGTGATTTACTTTCAAGAAAATCCACCACTGAAAACCATAGGAGTGCAGTTGTTCTATGTGGACAAACAGGTTACATACCATGAGTCAGAATCAACTCCATGGGAACTTGTTGGGTTTTGTTAGAATAGAACAGATGGTAGGGTAAGAGGTTGAAATCTAAGCCAGAACACAACTTCAATAAGGTATGTCAGCTCCAGACAGGGTCTTAGATCTCGGCTAGTAAGAAAGAGTCATAAAATGTGGCCATGATGAGGAGGGCCCAAATGCCAAAGAAAAGTAGTTACATTTTCAGAAGTGACATCCAGGGAGCCACACTATAGTGATCTGAGCCTGAACTTGAGACAAGGAAGTAGAAGCAATAACTGAGGGTCAACCTGCATTTGATGAGGGGGAGGAATCATCTGGTTGTAAGGATGGTACCAAAGGAGGGCACAGAGTCAAGAGTCAAAAGGCACAACAAAGGAACAGTTGACAAGACTAAAACTTTGAAACTCTGGAAAGCCTGGAGCCTCAAGAAGCTGTTCTATGGGTGATAAAATTTACAAGACTTCAACAAAAGCATTCTTTCATTTTTTATTTAGGGCTGTAAAAATCAGTAATGAAGCTAAAAATGTTTTTCCTTACCCTAACTCATTCCAGTTTGTATACTCCATATTTATCCTGTCTCAAGATGGAAGATCACAAATCTCAACGCTAGTGTATTCTGAGGGTCCACTGAACTCTGAGGGTCCAAAGCCTAAAGGAGTCTACAATGGCTAAAGCATGAACTCTTTAAAAAATAACTTGAGAATGCAATGTCCTGTAACCAGAAATTTGGGCAAACTTCCTAACCTAAGCACAGGAAAATGTACATGCATAAATCACTGCAAGCATGCCTGAAGAAGAGATGTGAAGGGTGCCAG